TCCTGACTGTCCACAGAGAGGCTGTTGCTGCCACACAACAGAGACAGTGAGTCCGTGGTACCCAGGGGATCCCCTGAGACGTCGCTGAGGATTGCTGGGTTCAGTGATAGTGTTAATGAAAGCCTCAAGTGACCCAATACAAGCAGAATTACCAAGGACTCAGACTCTTCAGGAATGAAGTTTGGGTCACTTCATTAAGATCCCTAAAAGAACCATAGAATGGGTATGGAAGAAAGAAGTTGTAAATAACAATCCAGGGTTAACAGATAAAATACAGGATGCTCAGTGATAAAAGGAAAACTTTAGTCCAGGTAAGTTTAACAGAGTTTAACTGAGCAAATAACAATTCAAGAATCAGGCAGCCTCTCATGCCAGAGTGGGCTCAGAGACTCCAGTGCAGCAGTGGTGGAAGAATTATGGACAGAAAAAGGAAAATGAAGTACAGAAAACAGAAGTGAGATCTAGAAACCAGCCAGATGGTGTTTGCCTTATCTGAACACAGTTTGAACAGTTGGCCACCTTTGATTAGCCAAAACTCAGTGATTGGCACAAGCACTGGCTACATTCTATTTACAAGTCCGTTTAGGTTACAGTTCACGATGCACAGAGAAACCTTTAGGCCACTTAAAAACTGTAAGGAGGCAGCTTTAGGCTTAACATGATTTAACACTGGTTATAGCCCAGGCACAGTGGCTCACACCTGTAATCCCACCACCTTAGGAGGCTGAGGTGGGAGGATCACTTGAGTCCAGGAGTTCAAGGTTGCAATAAGCTATGATCGCACCATTGCACTCCAGCCTCGGAAATGGAGAGTTCCTCTGGGAATCGTGCCTCCAGCCAAGACCAGAGACAGGCACTTCAAAGGAGGAGGGGTTACGGTAGAAGTTTCGTGCTCCATGGACTGATGAAACATACACATTCAATAGCTTACATGAGGAGCTATGAATATTCATGAAGGTGGTTCTGACACATGCATATTGAACAAACATGCATGTAACATACAACCCATGCTCGCTTTGGGGTGGAGGCTTAATATTTAAATATATTACGATTAGGCCCTATATGGCAAAAGCTCTTTCCACGCAAATGCACGAGCTCTGCAAACCAGCCAGAACCAGTCCATGGTGGGTGGTCATCAGGCAAGTTACTGAAATCAGTCTCTTGTCCAACCAAAGCTGTAGTTATGGCTGGGGGAACACTGGCTGGAGGTCAGTTAGTCAGCATCTGGTGAAGCTGAAAGTGTTTTTAATATTGCTTATCTCAAAAACAGTGCTTGGGCTGGGTGAGGTGGCTCACACCTGTAATCCCAACACTTTGGGAGGCTGAGGCGTCCGGATCACCTGAGGTCGGGAGTTCAAACCAGCCTGGCCAACATGGTGAAACCCTGTCTCTACAAAAAATACAAAAATTAGCCAGGCATGGTAGTACATGCCTATAATCATAGCTACTCAGGAGGCTGAGGCAGGAATATCACTTGAACCCAGCAGGCAGAGGTTGCAGTGAGCCAAGATTGGGCCACTGCACTCCAGCCTGGGTGACAGAGTGAGGCTCCGTCTCAAAAAAACAAAACAAAAAAACAGTGATTTTTAGCGTTTTAGCTGCTACAGAAAAAAACCTTGTGCAATTAGAACATAGTTCATTCATAAGTAGGGGACAGGGGAGGCAGAGCATGGAGTGGGGGCCCTGTATGACTTAACCCTTGCCTGGCATGGCCTTAGGTCCTGTTTACCATTTGGTATCTTATTGCCACACAGTCTGTTCTGTCCATCTCATTATTCCTATTTTGTTCATTCATGCTGGTCAGTTGTGTCTAAACCATAAAGGAATAGGGTATAACAAGTTACATCTGACCTCTCAGCCTGTCAAGGCCAGGAACTTTTTTCGAGGGTCCCCTGGGCCATGAGGGAGCCTCTATTCAGTTGGTGGGGGTTTAGGATTTTTAGTTTACATAACTAATTTGATAATCCAGTGCATTTGTTACAGCGTATCAAAGTGAGATGATGACTCAACTATTTCGCACCTCCAACATGTACTTCCCCAACTGTCATGGCAGAGGGAGAGAAGGCTGGAAAACTGAGCATTGGCAATGACATATTTTGCCCCAAAACTGACCCCCCCTTCACATTTCATTAGCCAGGGCTGGACTTGTAGCCAGACCTGCCTTGGAAGAGGCAAGGAAGGGTACATGAACAGCAGCGTCCACACAGGTGGACAAAGTGACCCATGTGACTTTGGTTCCCTCTTTTTAGGAAGAATTTTTGGTTGTACTTGGATAATTACAGGCGTGCCGCTATAGATCTTCAGGAAGCTGAGATGATGAGCAGCAGTGTGTGATGCTGAGGACACAGAGGGGTGGGGTCTAGGAGCTCTCAGGAGGGCTCACTCAGCACCATCCTGCCTCTTGGTGCCTCCCTAGGAGCGCTGAGAAGATGCAAAACCAAAAGCTTTTACTCCAACATTGCTTAGCCAAGCCACGAACATACATGCCCTCCGATTCAGCAATTCTGCCCCTAGCATGTATCCCAGAGAAAGTGTTACATAGGTCCACAGGGGACATCTAAGAATGGCCATTGCAGCACAGCTCTGGTTGGCGGGGGAGCTGAAGGTCATCTGGTGTCCAACACTGGAGGAGTGGATGGATAAAATGGGATGGATGCACAGGTGGGCAGAGAGATGGGTTAAAGGATGGCCAGTCCTTGCATGGACCAGTTACCTTACTGTTAGGCTAAGGATGAGCATCTTCAGGCAAAAAGATTCCCTTGCCACTGGGGTTCTGTGGAAGAGAAAAATTGAGTCCACTAATGAGATGTCTTTTGAAGGATGTGGACGGAGGAAACAGGGCCAGGGCCATTTGCCCTGTGGGCCCAGCCTTGGAGATGTTCAGTCCTTCTGCAGCAGCATCAGGCTTCTGGCTTTGTGGGTGTCAGGAGGCAGAGGTGGCAGTCCCACCCCACGTGCCAGGGCCCAAGCCCAGTTTCCTGGGTGCTGAGAAGGGGTGGATGGCAGGCAGGACAGTATGTTTTGATCTCAGCTCCAGTGGGAGCCTCCTGGAGGTAGTTTCTCCAGACTTCCCCTGGACTTTTAAGTACCCTGATTCCCTCAAATCTCTTTCTGCCAAAAACAGCTGGAGAAATTTCTGTTTCCTGAAACGGACCCCTTCCTGATTTGGAAATCACTTGCTGAGGTGACAAAGCAAGTTACTGTCACATATCAAGTTTGAGACAGGCCCCCTGACTTGACCTATAACACTCCCACTGTCCCAGGCCTGGTTCCCTTTTTTTTTTTTTTTTTGAGACAGAATCTCACTGTCACCAAGGCTGGAGTACAATAGTGCAATCTCATCTCACTGCAACTTCCACCTCCTGAGTTCAAGCAATTCTCCTGCCTCAGCCTCCCAAGTAGCTGGGATGACAGGCACATGCCACCACACCCGGCTAATTTTTGTATTTTTAGTAGAGACAGGGTTTTGCCACGTTGGCCAGGCTGATCTTGAACTCCTGGCCTCAGGTGATCCAGTCGCCTCAGCCTCTCAAAGTGCTGGGATTATAGGCGTGAGCCACCACACCCAGCCCAGGCCCGTCTTTCTTATGGCCTGCCCCAATCAGGAGGATCAGGAGGGGTAAAGCTGACCCATGGGGAACCTGTGGCTGGGAGCCCAAGAGGCAGGGGCAGCAAAAGAGGGCAGAGAGGGTTGGGACCTCTGTGGCCCTGGCTGAGGTCTGCTCTGATGACGTGATAATGGAAACCTGCTACCAGATGACAAAACAATTACCAAGCAGCTGGGTGACCTTAGGAAAATCACTTAACTGCTCTGACCTACAGATTTCCTCATCTGCGGGGCCCTGCAGAGCTGTTGCAAGGATGAAATGAGCCAACACATGTGCCTGGCAGCAGAGCTGGCCCCCACACAGCTGAATCCTGTGTTTGGATGTTTGGGGGAAAAAAAACAAAAACTAGAGGAACTAGTTCTTCTTACCTGGGAAGATTCCTAAGCACAAATTAGGTTTCTTAGGGGCTGAGATTAGAAAAAGTTTAGTCTTAACCCCGATCATGTGGCTCCCTCTCTCAGTCCTCGAACCTTATTAGCAGGCCCTTCCTAGAGCGGGCTCCAACTGGCAGAGCTTGGGAAGCTCTCTCCCTGGAGAAACTACCTGGCCGCCACAGCCTTTCTGTTTCTGGCTTAGGCCCACTGTCCTGCCCGGCCTGAACTCCCTGGGGTAGGGTCCCTGCAAACCTTGGTGGTTGAGAAGTGCTGGCTTGGCGGGGTATGGTGGCTCTCACACCAGTAATCCCAACACTTTGGTGAGGCTGAGGCAAGAGAGTCACCTAAGCCCAGGTGTCGGAGACCAGCCTGGGAAACAGGGAGATCCCGTCTGTGCAAAAAAAATACAGTGATGGCTCACACTTGTAGACCCAGCTTCTCAGGAGGCAGAGATGGGAAGATCACCTGAGCATGGGAGGCAGAGGCTGCAGTGAGCCCTGATTGCACCCTGCACTCCAGAGCACCAGAGTGAGAGCCTGTCATTAGCGCCCCACCCCCCCCATAAAAAAGAAAAGAAGAAATAAAAGTACTGTCCCACACACTCTAGCTCCAGCCCCTTCCTAAATCACTGAGCGGCCTTGAGCAAGGCCAGGCCCTCTCTGGGAAGCAGAAAGATTTTTCCCCTGCCTCCTGGGCAGGGACCCTGGAGAGCACTAGTGTGTCTGGCTGAGACAGAGCTATGTAACTCTGCAGTCCCGAGTTCTGTCTGGGGGCCTTCCTGGGGCCTATGACCCTGCTACAGTTTGAATGCTCATCCCCTCCCACACTCATGTTGAAACGTAATTGCCACTGTAACAGTATAAGACTTAGGACCCTTAAGAGGTGATCAGGCCAAGAGGGCTCTGCCCTCCTGCATGGGCCCAGGCTGTTATCTTGGTAGTGGGTCCTCTATCATGGGATGCAGAAGGGTCCTTGCTGGGCTCTGGGCCCTCAACTGCGGACTTCCCAGCCCCAGAGCTGTGGGCCAATACATTTCTGTTTATTATAACTTACCCAGTCTCAGGTATCTTACTAAAGCAGCAAAAACAGACTAAGACCCTCACCCCCATGAGCCTGCTCCCAACCAGGGCCCAGAAGAAAACAAGCCAGCGAGGGCACTGGGGAATGCAGGGTTTTGGGGAAAAGAGCCACAGGAGTGTGCCCTGGCCCCCACAAGGGCCACAGTCCTGCCCCACCTGGCCTCCTGGGGCTCAGACGGCAGCCGCCAGCCCGCGGAGGTAGTCCCCCACCAGGGGCAGCACGGCCCAGTCATCGGTCCGCAGGGCCACAGGCACTCCCTCTGCCAGGGCTGCCTCCAGCCTCAGCAGCAGCTTTGAGTCCGGGGGAAGGTGAATCGCTACATAGTAGCTGGTAGGGGGCTGGGCCACCACCACGAAAGGCTCCAGGTGGCGAGACACCAAGCCCTCCAGGCCCTGTGGCCCAAGTGGACACCAGACACGACTCTCAGCACCCTCTGGCAGGCAGGAATCCCAGAGCTCCTCAAAGAAGCCCAGACCGGCCCCCTCTGGCGGCTTCGGGAAAGGCAGAAAGAGGTCGGCAAAGTTCACGAACAGGGGTGGCAAGTGGACATGGCACGTGAGACCAGTGGATGTAGTGTAAAGGGCGTGGACATCCAGCCGTGTTGGGGCTGGGCATCGGGGCTGCAGGGGCAGGAGCAGAGGGCGGGCAGGGCGGCCAGGACACAGGTAGGGCACATGGACAGCCCCTAGGGGTGCATATAGTTGTCCTTCCACGCGGAAGCGCAGCTCCAGAGAGTAGATGGGCTCCAGCGCCTCTGGCAGGAGCTGCAGCACTGGCAGTGGGCCCTTGACCTCATGGGACCCTACGCTCAGCCGTATCAGGGCCGGGGCCTCCTGCACCATCAGTGCTGCCACAAAACCCTGGTTCTCAGCCACCAGTGAAGAGGCCAGTGCAGGTGCAGCAAGGGAGGGGCCCAGGGCCACCCCCAACTTGGGTCCTGCCAGGTGTGCCAGGAGGATGTAGTAGAGTCGGGCGTGGTCACACCCATCAGGGTCCTCCAGCTGCCTGGCCAGTACCTGCAGCAAGTCAACCAGGCCACCCCCCACCCCTGCCCGCAGCAGTGCCCGGCAGACCTGCAGCAGGCCCTGCTGTAGGTCCCAGCTCGTGCAGTGCGCAGCCACAGCCCGTAGAAAGTTGAGGGTAGCACTCTGGGCATCTCCATCTGCCACCCTTGCCAACATTTGCAGGTGCCAGCAAAGAGCTTCATCCCTGCCTGGCCTGGACACCACCTCCTGCCGCAACACCACCTTCAGGGGCTCCCTCAGCTCAGGGTCCACGTGATCCAAGAGGTCCACAAAGTGGGGAGCCAGCATGGGCCGGGCTCGGTACAGCTGGGCCAGTCCGTGGATCAAGGGGGTCAGCACCGTAGGTTGCCCAGCCAGGCAGCGGGCAACCAGGTATGAGGCCTGGAAGCAGAGAGTGGCCAAGGCCCGGGGGCCTCCTTCCAGGGCTGCCCTCTGCCACAAGCCAGCCAGTAGCTCTTCCAGGTAGTGCCCTGGGCTTGGAAGCTGGCTTTTCTCCTCCTCTTCTTCGTCTTCGGCACAGAGCAGGCACAACAAATGCAGGCGGGCCAGGAGGGCCATCGGCTCATGTAGCAGACTGGGCAGGAGACCACGGCATAGCTGGGGCCGTAGCAGCAGTGGGGCGGCCTCCTCACCTTCGGGGCCCAGTGGACAGTTCTCAGGGAAGCTCAGGAGGCAGTGCAGGTAAAAGAGATGGGTGGACAGAGGCAGAGCAGGGTGCTGGGCGGCCAAGGTGAGCCGGCGGAGCAGCAGCGTTTCATCCTGGGCTGTGAACAGGGCCTCGCCGAAGGCCGCCTTGAGCGCCAGCACTGCGTGCAGCAGTGTCAGCTGTGCTGTGCCTAGCAGCCGTACCAGCTGTGGCTTGAAGAGTGCTGGTGGCTGTCCCTGAAGACCCCGCAGGGCCCAGCCCAGCAGCCACAGGAGCTGGGCCTGGGCCACAGGAGTGAGTAGATAGGAGGTGTCTAGAAGCTGGGCCACCGCAGCCCGCAGCTCCCGCGCCTCCTCAGGGCTGTGCTCTCGTGCTGTAAGGCTAGGCTCCCCCTCTCCCTCCTCAGCTACCGGCCAGCTGGGTGCCTGGGGCTGAAGGCGTCCATCGCCCTCCTCCACTAGTGTCCAATCCCAGGGACCACCCCCAGTTGGGGAAACTCTAGCCGTGAGCAGTGCCCCCAGGCCAGCCCCAGCCCGGGACTGGAGCACCAGGGTGTTTCGCAAGGCAAGGGACAGCAGCAGGCTGAGCGGCTGGACAGGGCCCTCCTGCCCCAGCAGGCCCCGCAGCAGCCCCAGGGAGCCCCCAAGCAGCCCGGGCTTGCAGCTCTCTAGCTCTCGCAGACACTCGCAGGCGGTGGCCTGCAAGGGACGCTGTTCCGAGGCGGGGACAAAACCTCGCCCCAGATCGCTGCCCGCGGCCAGGCCGAGAAGTAGGGGCAGAAGCCGGCAGGAGGCGCCCGAGGTGGGGCCTAGTGCGCCGCCCACCGCCAGGGCTGTGGTGGCCGCCAGCAGCAGGGGCCGGCGGAGAGCTGAGGGCCGCGGGGGTAGGAGGACCAGGGTGTCCAACAGGGAGGTGGCAGCCACCTCGGCCGCAGAGGCGTCGGGCCACAGCTGGGCTGGGTACTCCAAACTCAGGGCCAGCAGGGAAACCTGGATGGGGGATTAGGAGGGAATCACGAAGATGAGGTTCTGGACAAGGCGGGCTGGAGTGACCCTGCGGGCCGGGGCAGAGGACACGTGGGGGCCTACCTTGGTCTGTTCGCTCAGCTTCTCACTCCTCAGGTCGCCCAGCAGGTCGCGACCCAAATCCTCCGCCTCGGGACCTGCCATGAAGGCGGACGGGCTGGCCCGGAAGGCCCCCAGGCGCTGGGCCCAGACGTCCCGGCTTAGGGGCCCCATGGTGAGGCGCGCGGGTCCCTGCGCTGGGGAGAGGGAGCCTCAGGCCGCGGCCGCCAGGAGCGCGGGGCCTGCCGCCAACCCCAAGGGGCTACGGTCACCCCTGGCCGCCGCGCAGATGCCGGCGGGACCCGCGCCCTGCTCCCACGATGAAACCAGGGCTCTCCGGGCAGACGCCGGGGCTTGGCGCCTGGGCCCCCGCGGGACAGGAGCGGGGAGGAGGCGGGGGCGGGTGCGTGCCGAGAGCTCGTTAGGCCGCCGCCCTCTCGCCCGCGGCTCGCACCGAAACCACAGCGCCGCCCGGGCCCCCGGCGCCCGCGGTAACGGGCCGCGCTCGCCGCCTGACTCAGCCGCCGCGGGCGCTCAGGCCGGCCGGCTCCTTCCGGGCTGGCTGCGCGGGGCGGGGCGCGGGGGCGGCCGGGGCTGGGCGGGGCGGGGCGTAACGGGGCCGCCGCCTCCCGCAGGTGCCTACTCGCCGGTTTCGCGGGGGCTAACTGTCCCGCCGCGCAGGCCCCCTTCCCAGAAACCGCCGCAGGCCCGGGCAGGAAAGGCGGAGGGGAGTGAGTCGGGGCGGCGGGGCGGGGTGAGCCTGGGCCCCCGATCCCAGCTCCAGCCGCGCGGGGCTGCGATCCCGCGGCCCTCGGCGGACAGCGGCCCGGCCCCACCAGCGCCCGCCAAGCCGCGCAGGGCGGCAGCCAGCGCGCCCCCCGCAGGCGCCGGGGCGCACCGCACCCTGTGCCTGATGCGCGGCCCCGGGGGGCGTGGGTGCGGGTCCTAGGGCTCCCGGAGTGGCCGCTGGGGGTTAGCAAGGTGCGGTCGCAGGGCGCCCGCAGGAAGGGCGCCCCAGCTGAACCGGTCGGGCGGGCGCCGCAGGGCTTGGCTTCGCTTCCCTGACGCCTGCCCAGGCCCCCCACCCGCTCGGCTTGGGGGCGAGGAGCCGGCGCCGCGGTCGCGGCCCTCCGGGAGCTGCTGACCTTTGTTTGCTCGAGGCCGCGCTGGCGGCCCGCAGGGGTCGTGACGGCGAGGGCGGGGCAGGGCCCTAAGTCGAAAACAACGGGATCCATACACGGGAAGTGCGGGCTGTCAGGGCCTGGCCGGTCACGGGGCTCGAGGCACGCCTAGTTATGGGGAAAACAAGGCCCGGGAAAACAAGGCCCGCGAGGAGGGCGGCCTTGCCAACCGAGACTTGGGGGCAAGCAGGGCCGGAACCCAGCACTCCTGACTTCAGTGGGCTGGATTCTGGCTGTTTAGGGGTGTTCGGGGGGTCTGGGCCGCGGTCTCTCCCAGGCCAGAGGCCCAGGTTGCAGGTGTCCCACAGACCACCGATTTCCAGGGCACAGAACGCTGGCGCCCAAACCCCACCACCCACCTCTGGCTCTAATTAGCCGCTTTGAAGATGAAACAGGCCTGAGCCCCCATGCAAGGCACTGCCAACTGGTCTCTCCCTACCCCATCCTGCTCTAGATGGGAGGTGGTGGAGAATTGAGGGGTGGAGAGTGCCAAAAAGGAGGCTGTCTGGGTGCCCTTGGGGATAGGGAGATAGGGACACACCCAGAGGGACAGGTCCAGCCAGAAGGCCCCGTCCTGGCTCCTCTGGGCCCTGGCTCCACAGTTGACTCACAGGCGGCAGTCCCAAACCACTTCCCTCTAGGTGCCTCAGTTTCCCCATCTATAAAATGGGAGTGATAACTCCCACCCAAGAGGCTGTGGGGTGAGGCAGCCTGGCTAATTAAACCCAAGATGAAAGAGGGCAGGATGAGAGCAGCCCTGGGGAGGGGAGGGGCCTGCAGCAGGAGCCAGTCTGGTTTCCCTGTCTGAGCCCAGAGGGTGCTGGTAACTGCACATCCCCGGCCCTCCCCACTCTCACGGAGTGGTTATTAAACCCCTGGTAGAGTTGAGGAGACAGGCTTCCAAGGGTCAGGAGGCCTGGCACTGGCTCTGGCCCCCGGCTTAGCCTCCGACAGCGTGGCCTCTGCCACCTCCTGCCTGAGTCTTGGCTCCTTGGGGCTGAGGGAGGAAACCCACACCTATGGTCTCCAATGCTGCAATGGACAAATCCACATAGACTCACTGAGTCTCACAGCAACCCCAAGTACCAAGGGTAGGTACCAGACACAGATGAGAAAAGGGAAGCCCATGGAGGCGCAGTCACTCAGTCACAGAGCCCCTCAGAGTGGAGCCTGGACTTCCACAAACAGCCCCTTGCTTCATCTGACCTGGTCCTTCCCCCACACCAGGTACCCCCGGCCTTTTTGGGTGTCCAGGTCCCTGGGTGGGCCTTGTTCTCGCCTGTCTGCTTCCCTATGGGCGGGTGGTGCTGGTTCTGTCCCTGGCAAAGCCAGGCATGGCGCTGAGCTCAGCCCATCATCAGACTCACCCAGGACAGCAATATCCCAGCCGAGGGCCCAGGTGTGGGCCACTGCCAGATGCTGAGCTGGGAATTCCCCGCTCCATGCCTTCCCTCATTTCTTCTCCTCCTGCTGAGTTTCAGTCCTCCTCATGCAGCCCAGTTGTGCGCAGTCACTAGACACGAAGCTTAGAAAAAGGAAAGTCAATTTCCCAAGGGGTCCTGAGCCTCAGTTTTCTCATCTGTAAAATGGAGCTACAACAAACACACCCTCACAGCACTGGGTGATAAGGATACAGGAAGGCTTAGGGAAGAACGAGTCAATAGGCAAACCCATGGAGATAGAGCAGACAGTGAGTGCTGGGCCGGGGGGAGGGGAGACAGACTGACAGCTAATGAGTAGAGGGTTTTCTTTTTTGTTGTTGTTTTTTTGAGTCGGAGTTTCGCTCTTGTTACCCAGGCTGGAGTGCAATGGCGTGATCTCGGCTCACTGCAACCTCCCCCTCCTGGGTTCAGGCAATTCTCCCTGCCTCAGCCTCCTGAGTAGCTGGGATTACAGGCACGCACCACCATGCCCAGCTAATTTTCTGTATTTTTAGTAGAGACGGGGTATCACCATGTTGACCAGGATGGTCTCGATCTCTTGACCTCATGATCCACCCGCCTCGGCCTCCCAAAGTGCTAGGATTACAGGCGTGAGCCACCGCGCCCGGCTGAGTAGAGGGTTTTCTTTGGTGTGATGAAAATGTTCTGGGATTTAGTGGTGATGGTTGTACAGCTCTGTGAGGTTAGTAAAAACCACTGAATTGTATACTTTATGAAAGGGTGAATTTGATGGTATATGAATTATATCTAAATAAAGCTATTTAAAATGGCGTTTAAAAAGGGGACCCACCCCAGACCAGCAGAGGCACAAAAAGCAAAAATAAAATATAAAGGCCGGGCACTGTGGCTCACACCTGTTAATCCCATCACTTTGGCAGGCAGAGATGGGCATATAACAAGGTCAGGAGTTCGAGACCAGCCTGGAGAATATGGTGAAACCCCATCTCTACTAAAAAATACAAAATTAGCCAGGCGTGATGGCACAAGCCTGTAGTTCCAGCTACTCGGGAGGCTGAGGCAGGAGAATTGCTTGAACCCAGGAGGCGGAGGTTGCAGTGAGCAGAGATCCCACCACTGCACTCCAGCCTTGGCACCAGAGTGAGACTCCATCTCAAAAATTAAAACAAAAACAAAAATAAAACAATAAGGGGTCCCTCAAGTTCAGAACTTGCACTGGTGGGGAGGAGAATCAATAATAAGCAAGGACAAAACCAAAACGCCATGGAGTGAAAGTTGTGGCAAAGAAAACAGAATAGGGTAGTGGGACAGGGGTGGTGGGGACAAAGATTTAGCTGGGGTGAACAGAGAGCCCCTCACAAGTGGGGACAGTTGGTTGAAACCTGAATGAAGAGAGGTAGCCAGTAATCCAGTAGGGAAAAGTGTTCCAGGCAGAAGGTGCAGCAGGAGGAGGGGCCAGAGCTGGGAACAGGCCAGGACCTGTTCAGGGGACGCAGGAGCCAGCAGTGTGGCTGGCACACGGGACCCAGCTGGGAGCTGGGAGGTCAGCGGTGGCCACAGCATGCCAGGCCTCAGGCTCTCATTCCAGCTGCAGTGAAGTCATTGGAGGATGTGAGCTGAGGGGAGGCCTGGCCTGGGTTTTAACAGCACCTCGGGTGTCGTGGCCGACCTGCCTCTCCAACCTTGGCTCCCCTACTCTCTCTTCCCCTCACTGCCCAGCCAAGTTGCATTTGGGTTCGTGGCACACACCCTAGGCTCACTCCTGCTCTGGGGCCTTGGCATCAGCAGTTCCTTCTGCTGGTCATGCACTTCCCCGATCTTCACAGCTGGCTCCTCCCTCTCATCAGGCCTCAACACCCCCACCCACCACTATCACGCTCTCCCTATCATGCTCTCCCATCAAATGCTCTGCATGCATCTTATGCTTATGCTTACATGCTTTCCTACTTCTTTGCCTTGCTTTGTAGAATCTCAGTGCCTGGCACACAGCAGGTGCTCAGGAATTGTTGACTGAATTAAGGGATGAATGAATGACATCTAGCTGGCACTGTGCTAGGTGCTGTGGTGATCAGAGCAGAAGGCGCCAGCCTTCATGGGGTTCACAGTCAGCTCCGCCTTTCCCCACCATCACATGCATTGTCTGTCTCCAGAGCTGCTCGTGAAGGCAGCCACACCACATACCACAGCCTGTGGGTCAAACCTAACCCACGAAGGTGTTTTGTTTGACTCATTCCATGTTTTCAGACTTTTTGGTTAGCTGGGTGTGGTGTCAAACATGTGTAGTCCCAGCTACTCGGGAGGCTGAGGCAGGAGGATGACTTGAGCTGGTTAATTCCAGATTGCACCACTGTGCGGCAGCTCACTCGAGCTAGCGAGACCTCAACTCTTAAAATTATTTTTTTAAAAATTGAGCTAACATTTAAAAAATTAGATTTCATTTACAAATCTGGACTTCTAGCTTCTCTTGGAAAATGGAAAGCTGTGGCCACGTGGGGTTTCTGTACCTGAGTGACAGGATCGTGACTACCTTTTAGATAGGCACATTCTCCCCAGTTCTTCCCATTCTGTTCACTTCCCTGACGGCCAGGGTCTGTTGTCTTTTATCACCGAATTTGTGGTATTGACTTCCCATATCTATGTCTCTACCAAAAGTTGGACTGTGAAAGGTGAATGGGTCACAGGAGTCAAGAAAATAGGATATTCATTCATTCAACAAACATTTATTGATCACCCACTTTGTGCCAGGCACAGATGGAGATGCCAGGCTATAGCAGTGAACGGCATGGACAACACTGCCTCTCACCTGGGGCCCCATTCCACACCCTGTAACTCACTGTGCAGGGAGAGTTTCCCTGGCCAGCTTCACTGTACTTATCCAGTGTCCTGGCCTTCTGGACACTGGAGTTGCTACCCTGATGTCAAAGACTGCCCCTTGGGTCTAGGGACATCTGTGAAGATTTCCAATAGTATCCACTGAGCATCCACTGTGTCCCGGCCCATTGGGGCTTGGCACAACAAAACTTCTCAGTATTTGTTGAATGAATGAACTAAATGTACCTCTCTCCTAGACAGACTGTGTTTAAGGTTGTTTCTCCTGGATTCACCTCAAAAGATAGGCACATACCAGGTGTTCGCTTAATGTCAGTTGAACTAGAAGGTCTAGCTGGGATCAGAGTGAAGGTCACAGCTCTTGGAAAGGCAGGGAAAGAAGCAAACACGAACGCCCCATCCCTATCCTTAAGTAGGTCAGCTAGTGAAGGAAGCCCAGCCACTGCCAAAGTGTCAGGATGACAGTGTGGGCTTAAAGGAGGCCTCCAAGGAGCGAGGGCATCCCTCCTCGTGGGCCTGGGGCCTGAACCATGATGAGTGGCTGGGGGCGGAGGTCCCAGGCTGAACCTCAGCCCAGGGCAGGCCGTGCGGAGGAAGCTCTCCGCAGTGGCCGCAGCAAGGGAAAGGCTGAGGTCTGAGGTCTGAGGTCCCCGGCCCTCCGCGCTCCACCAGCCTGGCTGCACCTGAAATCCGCCTATTTGGGACAAGGAGGAGAGTTTTTGAGGGTGCATAAGCCCCAGTGGCCAAGATGAGGGGATCTGTCGGGCTTTGACGCCCTCCGCGAAGCCTGCCCCGGCAGAAGGCGGGCTGTCCGCCGGGTACTCGGCCGCGCGGCCCGCGCCTCCCCACTCACCGGCCGGCGCGCTCTTGCGGCGCTGCGTGCCTTCTCGCACGAAGCCGGTGCCCAGCAAACACCTACCCGGCTGAGCCACGAGTTGCTCAGCCGGGCCTTTGGGATCCCGCGCCGCCTGGGCCCAGGCCCGGTTCAACAAGTGCGAACCGGGCCGCCAGTTCCCGCCTGGCGGCTTCGCGCCTCCGCAGGAGCCTCGGGCGCGCCGGGTTGGGCCGGCCCCAGTTGGACGAGTTTCGTGTCATCACCCGTGGAGCGTGCCAGCGCCGGTGCAAATAACGTTGCCCCCTCCCTCCCTGCTCCGCTCCCTCCGAAACTCCGGTTTGCAAACGCCAGCACGCCCGGTTGGGAGGTCCCGCCGGGGCCCGGCCGGCTGCGCAGCCGGGGGCTGAGTGCCAGGCGCCCGCCCCCTGTCCCGCCCGGCCGCCCCGCCCGGGCTGCGAGGCCACCTCACCCGCAGCGGAATGGAAACCGGTTCGACAGGTAACAAATAGGTGGGTTGTCACCGTTATTTCCCAACGCATGCGCCGTCGCTCCCTGGGCCACTCCAAGCTAATTAGATCAGATCACCGCCCCCCGCCCCCCCGCCCCAGCCACCAACACACAGCGCCGCGAGCCAATAAAGCGTGAACCCGTCCGTCCGGCTCGCACTTTAAGACTTCCCGAGCGGCCGCGGGGACGCCAGTTGAGCGGGGAGACGCTTACCTGCCGCTTCCCCCGCCGCCCGGTGCACCTGGCCGCAAGGGACCTGGTTCACAGGGAGGACGACCACACTCCGCGTTGTTGGAACAGGCGCGCGCGGTCCGCGCTCAGACCGTCCCGGAACGTGGGGGCGCCTTAGCGACTCCTTCCCTGCTGTGCCCCATTCCCGGCGACCAGCCCGGCCCCGCAAAGGTGGGACGGCTCCCGGCTTCAGTTACGGAAGCGGCCGGTGCCCAGCGACAAGAGTTCGAAAATGCCCCGCGCGTTCCTGGTGAAGAAGCCGTGCGTCTCCACATGCAAGAGGAACTGGAGCGAGCTCCCCGACGAGGAGCGCGGCGAGATCTACGTGCCAGGTGAGGCTCCAGCCGCCCTACGGCTCGGGCGCCCGCGGCGGCGTCGAGGCTGCAGGCGGGCGGGCGCAGGTACGCGGAGCCGGGCGGCAGCGCGGTGTGGGCGCCGGAGCTGAATGCGGCAGCGACCCAGGCCGGGTGGACCCGAGGCTCCCGACCTGGGGGGCAGGGGGCGGGAGCGGGGCTGGGGCCGGCGGAAGAGCGCCGGTGGGGGCGGGGGCTGCGCGGTGGACTGGGAGCCGTTCCGCGGGCCGAGGGGCGCGGGACCGCCTCTCCCCACCCCCTGAGCCGCGGCGCAGAGGAGGCAGCGGGGTGTGTCACCACCCAGGCGACCCTCCGCTCCGTCGTCGTAAATCCAGAAAACCGGGACTTTTCAAGAGGCGGGAGGAGGGCACTGGAGCGATGCCACTTTGGGGGGCGGGGATCGAGCTGGAGTTTCGGCCGAGATTTGTGCTACAAGACTCAGGGCTCAAGCGGCTCCTACAGGTCCTTCCTCCTCCCCCACAACACTGGTGGCCGGGATGGAGTGAGGGTCGGGCCGGTGGAGGGCGTGGACCCTCATGTTCTCGTGGGGCTCCGGCTCCTTGGTACCGCGCAGTGCGCCGAGACGCCCGCTGCGCCCCGCTTGCCCTTAAAGCAGAGGTGGATCGGGTCTCGTCTCACCTCTGCTAGAAACGCACTTCCTTCACCTTGCGGAGGACACAATTACGTGGAAAGCAGCTGAAGGGAGCCCACCCCACAGTGGGTGACCAGGCAGGGGGAAGCTGGTGCACCCAGTTATTTTTGGCAGACGCCTCGACAGCGTCGACTGTGAATGAGTAACCCGAGTTGCTTCTTCCTCCAGCGGCATCTTCCTCTGCACGCCCCAAGAACACTCTTGCCCCTTCTGTCCTACCCCCACCCCCAACAAAGTCTTTGGTCTAGAGAAACCCAGCTTCCTTCCGAACGACCCCTCCGCAGGCCTTGGGGGCGGGGCGGGGACACTCTGAACGCCCGGCCCAGCCCCTCCGAGGGGGGAGGGGGAGAGAGTAATTAACCAACTGACTTTGACCCTTGATCTGCAGACTCCCTGGCACCGCCTCAGGCCTTGTAGGAAAGTGGGGAAATGAGGGCAGCAGTGAGGGGCCCTGTGAGGGTTTTTGCTCAGTTTCCCTCCTGAATAAGCTGTTGGAGAGAGTGAGTGTTGTGGTGAGGTCTTTGTGGCCTGACCTGCCAGGATCCAGTGGCCTGTGGCCCTGGCAGGATGTTTCACAGCTTAACAATTCCTCAAAACAAGGGAATGTGCCAGAAGTCCCTGATGTCCCCAGTGGGGAAACTAAGGTAAAAAGGGAAGTGAGTGGCCTCCTCACCTGAGGCAGATGAGGGTGTGGGCTCAGGATTTTGTTTATAGCTTCTTGCTTGGCTACACTCCCTGGTGAGCTGGCTGGTTCTCTACCTGGGGGTGGAGCAGGGGGTGCAGAGGGCCAGAGCCCCCTCCTGCCTCTGCCCTCCGCCCTCACCTGTGTTTGACTTGCTGCTTAGCTGCTCCTTGGGATCTGATAAAGTGAACTTGGACTGTGGTAAAGGTGAGCTGAGCCTTGAGCCAGATTCAGTGTGCTGTTATTTTTAGTTTTATTTCACATCCCAATCAGTAACAGATCATGTGTTGACTTTTACAAAGAACAAAGAAATTCTCGTAGAAATCACTGACTTCTTTGTGTCCTGGCAATTTTCTCTGCCACAGTTCTGGTGGTCACAGTGGAAGTGGCAGGGGAGACTCAGGCCCCAGGGGCTGTCCCGGCAGGTGCAGGGGAGGGCCTCTGGGTGGTCCAGGCCACCTGCTGCCACCATCCAGGTGAGGGAGACCTGCCTCATCCAGACCTGTAGGCTCATCCAGGATGGGTAGCAGGGGTCTAATCTCAAGGGTGAAGGGAGAAGGAGAATTTGCCCTCCTCCCTCTGGCAAGGGGAGAATCCGTGGGGTCAAGGGTAGAAGATAGAGAACTTAATTTTACCTCTGAAAGCCATGTGGCCCACTGGAGAGTTTTCCCACAGTTTTTGGCAATGCGAAAGGGAATGTCCTCAGCCCACGCTCGGGTGCCTCCAATGGCTGGAGAGGGGGGGTGTGTTTTGTGCTGGTCTGTCCCCTGGCTAGGCCATTCCATCACCAGCCAACCATGACCCCAGAGCCAACCGGGCACGTTTCCGTTCACCTCGTAGACTCCTGGCACGTTGTGACCAGCTAAGCGTTTACCCCATTTCCAGTGGAGGGCCCGGGAACATGGGAGTGTTTGAGTTCTGACTTTCCTGCCAGGTTACTCTGAGACCCTCAAGGCCTCCCAGAGACCCCCTGGAAGGGGAAGTTTTTACTGGCCAGAGACGCTGGGCCCCAGCCCAGCAGCACTGACTCCAGAGACCCAGTTTGACAATCACATCAGCCTCTCTCCCATAGGCAGAATTCTAGAACTTCTCACTCCCAGGGCAGAATCTTTCCCCTGGGAAGAGGTAAAGATGGCTCCCTGCGCCCTGGAGACTTGAAAGGATTACTGGCTAGGAAGCCACCTTGAGGCTCCCCCGCCCCCACCCTCTCGCCTTCCTTTGTTATGTCAATATTGACTTGGAGTGACAGGGAGTAATGCTGGTTCCTTGAAGATAAACCCAGGCACCTGTACCCAGGAGTTAACTTCTACCTCCTAGACTGACCAGGAAAGGGCTCCAGGAACAGGGTTGAGCCCCTGCCCCTGCTGTGTGAAATCTCCAGGCCAGGCAGGCACCTGACAGACCCGAGGCTGGAAGCTGGAGCCAAGGAGCATCCCAGGGCTTCTTCCAGGCCTCCCACCACCGCTTCCCAGCCTCCCCCCTGTCAATGGGCTGGCCAGGGTCTGCTCTGCTGCTCGCCTGGTGGACACTTGAGCTCAGGGAGGCTGGCAGGCTGAGCAGTGGGACACTGGAGCTTCCTTCAAGGAATGTGGCCCAGCCTGGCTCTACTACTAGGTGGCGTGGGCACTTGGGCGGGTCTCTTTCCAGCTGGTCAGGAAGGCTGAGAGTCAGCTTTGGGTCCCAAGGATGCGACGGGGGTGAGGATGGGGAGATCTCAGGCCTCTGATGGTTACCCTACTCATTCCTCGGCCGTGTTTGGCAGCGAAGAAGATGTTTGCTGTGCTCACCAGGGAATAGGGCTGGGAGAGTGAACAGCAGACAGTGGACAGAGGCAGAAGAGCAGCATGAGCCTGGGCAGCCAGCTAAATGGGACTCCTACCTATCCCTGGGGTGCTGTCACCCAGGCTTTGAGGCTATCTGTGCTGAGCTTGGGTGTCCCCAGGCAGAAACCTGGCAGACCATTTGTCCCAGAAAGAACAGGTGAGGGGGCGGGTCCTTTGGCCGCAGGGAGGATGGCGAGGGAAGCTGGCGTGGTCGAAGTCGGGGCTCCTTTGTGTCATCGGCCATTTCCACAAGTCCTGGATGGAGTCCCACAGGGGTGCCAGGCCTGTGCCCGGCTGGGTGGGGGCTGCAACAGGAAGTGCTGCCCCACTGTTCCGGGCAGGCACCCTGGCGCGAGGGCTGAGGCACCGTTTTAACAACTTTGTGGACACCCAGTGAAAAGTGGTTGGGAAAGAGGGGAACCATCCTGACTGAGGGAACTTCTGGCAGTTCACAGAGAGTAAATAAAACGTCAAGAGACTGGCCCACATGTTTCGCGGCCTGCCAGCCTCCAGCTGGTACTGAGTCCTTTTGGACGATTGCTAACTGACCTACAAAGGACTAGAGGAGGTGGGCATGGGGGGTACCAGCCCTTCCTGATAAGGGTGCAAGGCTGCTGAGAACCAGCTGCACTGTGCTGAGATGCTGGGCTCCTGCCTCACACTCAGAACTAGGCTGACCCCCATGCTCCGGGCAGCACCCATGTGGTCAGCGGGGCCCAGGAGGGAGTCATCCTTGCATCTGCTTCACTTGCTTTCCCCAGAGAGCCAGGTACAGGCCTCATGCCCAGCCCTCTCCTGAGGCCTTGGATGGGGGGACCTGGCACTCTGCTCAAAATCTGGCCCAGCAGGTTTCAATCCAAGAAATAGGGGACTTGCCGAGGCTAAGGCAGGAGACAGGCCTCGATGGGCGGCTGCCCTGGACACGGCCCCTTGGTGTCCGTTCCTCTTCTCTGAGCCTGACCTTCAACATTGTCCAGGTAGAGGCAAGTTGGGCCAGCAGGAGGGAACCCATAAGCCCCCAGGCAGTAGGAAGAGGGCCAAGCTAGTCTGGCCTTGCCACACTCCACAGCTGTAGGCGGGTGATGAGTGGTCACAGCGCCACCGCCTTGCCGGAAACATCTAATTAGGGACAGAGAGCATCACAAGCAGGGCCCAACCAGTTCTGCTTCCTGCCTCCTGCCACTCAGCGACACTCAGTGCCAGGTGGCATGCCAGCACTCACTCCCTGTGCGTGTGGCCACAGCAGGGACATGCTCACGGGGGTGGCAGGGAGACAGGTTTGGCGGGGTGGGTGGGATGAGGCAAACGTCCCCACCCTGGCAGCGGGTGGCCGCCCATCCAGCCTCCTCTGCCCCTCGCTCAGGGTGGAGGCGCCCAGAGAGCCGAAGCAGGCAGGCCCACTCCCTGTCCTGGGTCCCCAGCACCAGCTCTGCCAGGTTTGTGTGGAACAGCAGAGGCGGGCAAAGGACACAGGTCTCCTCCCAAATGCGTGGATCTCAGGACTCTAACCATGAGCCTCCCCTCTCGTGGAACAAGGCGGCCCAGAGCAGCCACCATTGTGGGCTGAGCCCGTCTCTCACCTGCTGTCTCCTGCCCCACTGTGGTGCAGCTGGGGGGCCTCGCTCACACCATCCAGTACTGACAGGCAGGGGAGGGTAGAGGTTCCTGTTCGTCTCCACCTGGATTGAGAAATGGAAACTGTCATCCAGCTTTGAATTCTCAGCCAAGGTCTCCAATAGCTGGTGAGCTGGCATCAGAAGCTCACCACCTGACCCTGCCCACTCCCCGCCCTGTGGGCACAGACAGCTCCTGGTGCAGGGGAACAGGCTGGGATGGACAGCCAGACCTCAAAGACTGAAGACTGACACGCAGGCTCAGAGAGAGGTGCGATCCCAGCCCAGAGGCCACGCCAGGGCCAGGCGCTGGTGAATCAACCCCAGGAATGAGGTGGCTCATTAAAGGTCCCTGGACAGATGGACGCCAGGGCCTGCAGGACGGGTTCTGGGCGTCGGCAGGCGCATTCTTCTCTCAGACCTTTGTTGTGTTTTGAGGGGGCGAGAGCTGGGGCCTCTCCTGAAACTTCAGCACTATCAAACGCACCCTTGCTCCTCGATCACATTCCTCTGCTTCCCCCACGTCCCTTCCTCCTGGGAGAAGAGGTGAGGGCGGCAGCCCTCCTGCCCAGCCCTCGCCAGTTCTCTGCCTTACTGGCTGCGGAACGGTGGGGCGCACAGGGCGGTGCTCATGCTTCTGCAACCCTACGTCAGCCTCCCTCCGAGGCTCACTCATCCTTTCGGTCCTAGCCCTCTTGATTCTTTCTTCTGAAACTTGGAGGACATCTTAGCTTACAGGCTTCAAGTACTGAGCTCAGGCTCTTCGGAAGAAAAATACTAAGTTGAAAAATTTGCCCCAGCTCTGTTGGCTTTGAGACTTGTCTCTCTGTGTCCCTCGAGAGCGCCGTATTTCTGGTCCTGTCTAGTCAGGACTGGGCTGAGGGTCTGAAGCCAAGCCTCCTACCTGGCCCGTTCGGCGTGAGGTATCTGCCGTGGGTGTGGCTGCATCCAAGGGCTGCCAGGTATCGGTGCTGCTGCTGCTGAGGGTGCCCAGCCCGACATGCCCCGGCGAGCGGTCCTGCCGAGGGGGAGGGTTGCGTAAGCCTGGGCAGGCCGCCGAGACTGTTAGGCTGCATCCACCTGCTGCTCCCTGACCTCCTCCCTGTTCCACCCACCTGGCCTGTTTCCCTGCAGAGCTGGGACCAGCTGGGAGTGGGGAGCCTGGAGCCCTGGGCTGCAACAGCAGGGACCGGCCTGCTGGGTGGTGGGAGGCAGGGCTAGGACCACCCAAACCCCCAAGGCCAGCAACCAAATTTGCCAGAGGAGAGATCTGGAGTGGTCCAGACCACCAGGGACCCTTCTGGGATGAGGATGAGGCTCCAAGAGCTGTCTCTGGGCACAAGGCCTCCACTTGTGCCCTTTGTCCCTGCAGGAGAGTGGAATTCAGAGGGACCGGCCAGGTGGGGCAGGCAGACAACTCCGGAGGGGTAATAGGCAGGGCAGCTCAGTCCTCCCAGTTCCGCTAAGACACAAATTACTCAGCGGGCAGTGGTGCTTGGCTGGCATCACCTGCAATTACCTTAATAGGGCGGGAGGGCGGTACAGCTGTGGTGGTCGGGGCAGCCCCGCTCTGCTGCATGCCTGTGATGGGAGGGACGGACTCTTCAGGTTCCAGCCGTCTCATGGCTAGGGAAGCTTCCAGAAACCCCTCTGGATCCTCTTTCTACCAAGGCCCTCGCCTCTCTGTTCTCTCCCCAGTCAGCCTGGGCTTCTGCCCACCACAGCCATACCGGGAGCCAGAACCCTCCGTGGCCGAACCCCCTTCCTGCCCCCTGGCTTTGAACATGAGCCTTCGAGATTCCAGCTACAGTGTGGCCCCTGGGCCCTGTGTGGTGGCCCAGCTGCCCTCTGAAGACATGGGCCACTTGACAGACCCCCAGAGCAGAGACCATGGCTTCCTACGCACCAAGATGAAGGTAATGCGGCTCACACTGTCTTCAAGGGCCAGGGGCATGTGTGTAGACCTGAGTCCAGCTCACGAGACGTGACACAGATAAGACGTAGGCAGAGACTGACCTGGGACCTGGGCCAAGGTCTGCAGAGGACTGAACGGAGCTGGAGCACAGATGGTGGCGGCGAGGAGGGATGTGGGGCTGGAGTTCTTTGCGGTCTGTGCCCATGGGCCGTTCAGTTTCTTTTCTGGCCCCAAGAGGCAAGGGGTGCTATAGGAAGAGCCACCTCTCCCACAGAAGTCCTGGGCTAAGCAGGGACACGCAGGCCCAGCTCAGCTCTGCCTCCTGGCCTCCTGTCGTGCCGCCTCGAGAGTGAGGGCTGGAGTCGGGCACAGTGGTTGACTCTTCCCTGAGGCACTTGCCCGGTGATCACCTTGCCCAGGTCTGCTGTCTCCAGCACCTGTTAGTGTCCAGGCCAGGGCCTGGCTGAGCAGCCTCCAGCATTCAGCAGCACACAGCCATGAGGAGTTCACCAGGCAGCCCCTGCTTCCAGGGAGAGCATAGGCAGCACGGCCGTCCTGGCTGGGTCTGCATTCCTGAAACCTCCAGGATCTGGGAGGATCAGCCTCCTGCTGGAAGATGACCCTGACCCTGCAGAAGAGTCCTCCTCACAGTGTTCTCCTTGTGCCAAAAGATTGGGGAGAACTGGCAGCGGGGTGTGCCTGCCTCTCCCACCCTCGGAGGCCAGGCCTGTGTTGTAACTGGAGGGGAATAGCCAAGACCTATGCTGGGTGCTTGGCAGGAGCCAGCCGGGGCTCTCCTGAGGCTCATGGTACCCTTGTGCCCTTCCCCACTCCTTGGACCCTGTGGGTAGGGAAGGCATGGAGAGAGAATAAAGGGGATGGAACAGCAGATGAGCCAGAGGAGTGAGTGCCTGGGACCTCAGGAGGCATCTCCAGTGACATAGCCACCCACAGGACACAAGCAGAATCTGGAATACCAGCAGAGGGGCAGCCCGGAAACCACACCACCCTGTTCTGGCTGCCACTGTGGGGCTGGTGCGGTTCCTCTCAACAGCTCTTTCCAAGGTGGCCGGCAGCATCCGGGGATCCCTTCAAATACAGGGCTCATGGCTTTTGTCTCTCCACGTTTGTATAAATGTGGGGTTTTCTGCAATTAAAAAGAAATCAATAGGGTTTATAGGCAGATGGGTCCTCAGGGTGGGAAAGGCCTGGCTCAAGTAAAACCAGGCAGCTGGGCTGGCAGTCAGTGGACTCCAGGCTCACAGAGCTGCTCAGCCTGGGGACCCTGCCACAGAGGCCCTGGCCTGGGCATTTTTCCCTGCGATAAGGGGGCGAACAAGAATGAATGGGCAGAAGCTACAGAGGGGCAGATGTGGCCTCAGCTATGGGAGAACTTTCTAACAGGTAGATTTGCTTGACGATTAAACGGTCTTTAGGGAGTGAAGTTGCGTCTCTAGGGACGGTGAAGGAGGCTTGGTGACAACCTTGAAAGGGGACTTCAGAACCCAACTGGAGGCTGGGCCAGCAGCCCAGAGCTTCCTTCCAGCCCCACACTGCCGATCTCTGGGCAGACAGCACAGAGCTATGGCCTCTGGGAGGTGGGTGCACCCTCCTCAGGGACGCAGACGGCTGGCATCTGCGTCTTCCCAATCTGCCGGCCTGTGGCCCCAACTTCTGGATGTCCATAAGCAATGCCATCCTCACCCACAGGTGACCCTTGGGGACAGTCCCAGTGGAGACCTGTTCACCTGCCACATCTGCCAGAAGGCGTTCACCTACCAGCGCATGCTGAACCGCCACATGAAGTGTCACAACGATGTCAAGAGGCACCTCTGCACGTACTGTGGGAAGGGCTTCAACGACACCTTTGACCTCAAGAGGCACGTCCGAACTCACACTGGTAAGCGGAAGCCATGGCTAGGAGGAACATGCTGGAACCCTTGCTCTCCCTTGGTGACGGGCAGCCTGGGAGCTCAGGTCAGAGGTCCTCCTGAGCTCATCAGTTAGAAGTTTTAATTTGAGAGTCACTTGGGAAATTGGTGTTGGACAGGCCTCTGTCCCTCCCTTGGCCCTAGAGGCAGGGGGCCTGTCCTTTCTGTGTCTGGAAGCAGCCAACAGGCTCCAAAGTCCCTGCCAGGTCTCTGATGCTGGCCCCTGTCCTCCCCACAGGCGTGCGGCCCTACAAGTGCAGCCTGTGTGACAAGGCCTTCACACAGCGCTGCTCTCTGGAGTCGCACCTCAAGAAGATCCATGGTGTGCAGCAGAAGTACGCGTACAAAGAGCGGCGGGCCAAGCTGTACGTGTGTGAGGAGTGCGGCTGCACGTCCGAGAGCCAGGAGGGCCACATCCTGCACCTGAAGGAGCACCACCCTGACAGCCCGTTGCTGCGCAAAACCTCCAAGAAGGTGGCCGTGGCCCTGCAGAACACTGTCACTTCCCTGCTGCAGGGCAGCCCCCACCTGTGAGTGGCCCGAGCTCCCGGGGTGCTCCCAGAGGCCCCGAGAGGGTCCAGGGTCGCCTCCCAGTTGCCTGGCCAGCCCACCCTCCTGCGGCCTCTTGACCAAACACCAGTGATGAGGACTGGAGCCCCCAATACCTTGGTCTTGCCCCTGGGCACATGTGTTCACTCAGGCCCAGCAATGATCTCTGTTCATTTTTGCAGTTTTGACTTATGGGCCAAGGCTGCTCTGAGCCTGGGAAGATGTGCGTATGTCTAGAGAAGGGATGAGGCCAAGGCTGGCTTCGATTAGAAGCAGCCGCCCACAGGGACAGGCACTGTGTGCCTGGCAGCAGGACTTCCCACCCAGAGGAGGTGTGAGCAGGGCTCCCACTGCCCCGCCTCTCCGCACAGGGCAGGGGCTGCAGGCCTCCGGTGGACAGCAGAGCAAAAAGCACTGGCAAAGGGCACCCCTGCAAACACCTGCAGGGGGGGCTGGCCGCGGCCCCACACCCGGCAGGACTTCTAATGCTCAGGGTTCTGGAGGGCACTGTCCTTCCGGCAAGGAGAGGCACACGTGTGCCCAGCCGTGTGTGTGTGCGTGCACTGCCTTTCCACATATCACCTCATTTCTAAGAAATAAACTGCAAGGTGCCAAGAAGGTTTTATTTCCTTTTTTTTTTTTTTAAGATGACAAACATACAGATGTTAATATATTTTTGGTGCCAATGACAATGTTTTTAAGAGTGGGATGGAGCTGGCTTTTCTCCATTCCCATGCGCTTCTATTTATCCTGGACATTTCAAACCTCCTCTGTGCCTTGGCTCTGGGGGGCGGCTGCCCCAACCCACCCCCATTCTTTATACGTCCTGAGACAGTCACTGGAAGACCTTCCTCCAGCCTTGCCCTGGACGGCTGCTCCTGCAGACAGCACATGGCATCTTCTGCTATTCCCTCCTGGCTCTGCCCTGCACATCCTGTCAAGGCAGGCCCCAGTGCCCTGGGGAGCTAGCCTGAGGCTGAGGGTGTGTCCCTCTGGGGCTTTAGGGGGAAGGCAGGGGGGACAAATGACGATGCCCATCCACTACCTGAAGTGCTAGGACCAGCCTGGAAGGCCGGCCCTTTTCTTGGTTGAGTCAAAAGCCCTAGCACAGTGGCAAAAAAATGGAACAGAACGATGACCAGCACCTCAGAAACTTCCAGAGGGAGGAGAGGATTTGATGGCTACCAAATTTTATCTGTTGCCTTTTTTCTGACTTTTTCATCTGGCCAGGCTGGGGTTTCGAGTGCCTCGGAAAGAGCCGTCCTGGCTGGCTGGCGCCCTCGATGCAGCTGGGAAAGGGGTTGCGGGTGTAAAGGGGTGTGTGTCTGTGGACCAAAGGGAGACAGGCAGGGGTCACAGCCTGCCAGAGGCAAATGCAAAGAGGTCCCCAGAACACAGCCGGCCCAGCAGCCCCTTAAAACCAAACCCCACCCGAAGCAGAACCACTTCGGCCTCCCCTGCCCAAAATGGTTAGAGTCTGCGCCTCCCTGCCCAGGCTCAGGCCCAGCGGACCTAAGAGGAAGGAGCCATCCTGGACTGCCCTCTGAAATGTGTATAGATTGATTCTGAAAACTCTTGTTTCACTTGCCTTTAGCGTGTCTGGGGAGCTGCCATATTCTGAGTTACACAGCACACAGTAATGTTATCTGCAAGCTCTGTTTTTGTTTACATTTCTGTATCCCTGGGTTGACTGCCAATCTGAGGCCGTCATGAGGCTCTGTGTTGTCTGTTTTATTTTATAACCTTCCCCTCAGCTATTAAAATTTGAGAACTAATGTCTTCTGTGTTTCTGATGTTTTTGTCTTATGGGCCCCTTTTTCCCCCACACAGAGAAATCATCAAAACAATCGACACGTTCTTATCCAAACCCTTCCTCCTTATGGTCATCAGGGGGCCCTGGTCAAGACCAGAGCCTGGCCCGGATAGCTTAAGTGGCCTGCCAAGGGCCTCTTAAGCCCGCCGAGCTCTGGTTCAGCATGGTCTGCTCTTGGTGGCAGCGGCCTGGCCCCACTGGGCCCTGTCCATCTGCCTCATACCACCCTGCATTCTGACTGGTGGCCTCTACCAAGCCGAGACCTCCAGGCTCTATGCAGTCACACGGGGATCCAGTCTTGGCCTCCCTGGACCCTGCCAGGGTTAGACCACAGGAGGAGCCATAGTCCCAAAAAGAGGGCACAAAGCTCACGTCACTTCCAGTCAGACATGCAGGGACGGCCACACTCTGTGTCCATGTACCTAGTGACGGCCACACTTGTATCTAGGCACCTAGGGACAGCCACACCTGTGTCCATGCACCGAGGGACAGCCACACTTGTATCCAGGCACCTAGGGATGGCTACACTCTGTGTCCACACACCTAGGGATGGCTACACTCTGTCCACACACCTACGGATGGCACCTGTGCCGCCCTTGTTCTGTGCCAGGCACACTTGGAAGTGTGTTATGTGTATTGGTTCACTTGACTCAACTTGCTTCTGAGGCAGCTGCTGTGACCACCTCCACCCCAGCAGAGAGAATCCGGGTAGCTGGCACAGTGTCTCATGACTGACCAGCAGTGGAGCTGGGATGCCACCTGCCTGGCCTGGCCCAGGGTCTGCTCAGTAACTGCTCACGCTATGGATGGAGAAAGCAGGAGAGGCCTTAGGGTTGGTCTGGGAGACTGATCTCTCTGGGGCCCTGGTACCTGGGTCCCAACTCAGGGCTCTTTCACCACAGCCTGGCCAGATGGATGAGAAAGCTACAGGCCGGGGACTTTGGTCTTGCTCGGGGAGGCCTGAGAAGGGTTGGTACTGGTCACTGTGAGGTGAGGGAAGACATCCTTTCCCAAGGCTCCCGGTAGCAAGCCCAGAGGCCTAGAAAGGGCCCCAACCCTCCTTCTGTCTCTAATAGCCAGGCATGAAGGATATCTCTTATCTAGAGAGGCCTCTCTGTGAAAGGCCAGCCAAATCCCATTTCCTGTCCCAAGACGTGCAGCCCCACTGTTGGGAACCCAGGGGACTGCTCACCACCTGAACCTCAGGAGACAGGACATGCCTCTGGGAAGCAAAGGTGGGGTGGGGCGGCAGGGGCTCCCTCCCATGCCTCAGGTGAGCTCAGGTGGGTGCCGTGCCCTGTGCCACCCAGAAGATCTCTCTTCCCTAGCAGGGTGGGGCCAGACAGTCACATTTCAAGGCCTAGAATATTCTCCAGGCTCTGTAAGATGGTGGCTGTGAGGGAAACACACAGCTGTGCAGGGCCTCTGCTGACTAGGAAAGAGAGAGGAGGCTGATTAACCCAGAACAAGTGGCATGGCCAAACTATAAACACTACGGAACCCAAAAAGCAGTCTTCTGCATCAGAAAGAACAAAGGCTTCTTGGAAGAGGTGGGGCTGGAAGAACAGGAGGATGTGAGCAGAACAGAGGACCGAGGTGTTTCAGGGAAGGGAGGTGGGCTCAGACCTGGGGAGGGGAGTGAGGCAGGAGGAGGGCGGAGGGCTCCCTGCCTCCACTAACAGCCGACGCCTCTTCCTTCGGCCAGTCACACCGCAGGGATTGTTTGAGTCCTGCCTAGGTGCCAGCAAGAACTGGTAACTAAACAAGGTTTGGAGACACAGGAGAGTTGGGGGACCTTGCCAGACAGCCTTATCAAGGACGACTGGAGAGCTCTCTTTTTATCCCTAAAAACACAGCAGCCAAGTGCAGGGTGGGAAGAACTTTACAATAACAGCAAGTGCCACTAAAATTTATATTCTATCTTGGAATTTAAAAAAAAAAAATTTTTTTTGAGTCGGAGTCTCTCTCTGTCACCAGACTGGAGTGTAGTGGCAGGATCTCAGCTCACTGCAACCTCCACCTCCCAGGTTCAAGCGATTCTCCAGCCTCAGCCACCTGAGTACAGGCGCACACCACCACACCCGAGTAATTTTTGTATTTTTAGTAGAGACAGGGTTTCATCATGTTGGCCGGAATGGTCTCCATCTCCTGATCTCATGATCTTTCTGCCTCGGCCTCCCAAAGTGCTCCAAAGTGTTGGGATTACAGGTGTGAGCCACCGCACCCTGCCTTTTTTTTTTTTTTTGAGATGGTGTTTCACTCTCTTTGCCCAGGCTGGAGTACAATGGCGCCATCTTGGCTCACTGCAACCTCTGTCTCCCAGGTTCAAGCCATTCTCCTGCCTCAGCCTCCTGAGTAGGTGGAATTACAGGCACCCACCACCACGCCTGGCTAATTTTTATATTTTTAGGAGAGACAAGGTTTCACCATGTTGGCCAGGCTGGTCTTGAACTCCTGACCTCAGGTAATCCACCCATCTTGGCCTCCCAAAGTGCTGGGATTACGGGTGTGAGCCACTGCATCTGGCTCCAATTTTTTTAATAGTGAATATGTATTATTTTTGCAATCAAAACAAAAGTTATGAGACAATTTAGGTGTTTTCAGTGACCTGAAGTTCAACAGGTCAACAGGAAAATGGGGTGGTTTCTTCCCCTGCCACCCAGAAAAGAGCTAATGAGGGCTGAGAATGGTGGCTCACAGCTGCAATCCCAAAACTTGGAGGCTGAGGAAGGAGAATTGCTTGAACCCCAGAGATGGAGGTTGCAGTGAGCCAAGATTGAGCCACTCCACTCCAGCCAGGGTGACAGAGCAAGACTCTGTCTAAAAAAAAAAAAAAAAAAAAAAATTAGCTGGGCATGGTAGCATGTGCCTAGTCCCAGCTACTCCCCAGGCTGAGGTGGGAAAATTGCTTGAGACTCGGGAGGTCAAGGCTGCAGTAAGCTGTGATCTCACCACTGCACTCCAGCCTGGGTGACAAAGCAAGACCCTATCTCCCAGGAAAAAAAAAAGAGCTCATGTGATTTGGGGGGATATCAGAAGTATAGCATCAACAGCCAAGGCTACCCCCCTCTGCTTGGCCAGGCACCCATCAGTGGAGCTGGGGAAGAGCAGGGCCTCAAATCAGGGGCCTGGTCTGAGCCTCGTCCTCTGTCACTGTCTGCGTGACCCTGGGAGAGTGATCACCTGTTTCCTCATCTATAAAATGTAGTGTGTTCCGAAATTCAAAAGTTCCTCTCTGCTCCAAAGACTCTATAAAAACTATTTTTTTTTTTTAGACAGAGTCTTGATCTGTTTGCCCAGGCTGGAGTGCAGTGGTGGTGTGATCTCAGCTCACTGCAACCTCTGCCTCCTGGGTTCAAGTGATTCTCCTGCCTCAGCCTCCTGAATAGCTGGGATTACAGGCCCCTGTCACCATGCCTGGCTAATTCTTGTATTTTTAGTAGAGACGGTGTTTCACCATGTTGGCCAGGTGGATACTGACCTTGTGATCCACCCACCTTGGCCTCCCTAAATGCTGGGATTACAGGCGTGAGCCACAGAGCCTGGCTCCATAAAAACTCTCGAAGACACTTGCTGGCAAACTGGCAGAGGCGAGAAGGCTAAAGGCTGGGGAATTGCCCTGGAGGAGGGGCCGAGGGCCAGGCCTGCTCCTGGAGAACCTGGGGAACATGGGCTGGGAGGCAAAGAGGGCAGTGCAGGCAGCGGGAGACTCTTCCAAGCACCCCAAGCCCCAGCTGCTGGGAAGGGCTGGAGGGCTGCTGGCCTGGCTGGAGGTCGTTTGCTGGGACTCACTGGAGGGACCCAA